CACTTGCTTGTTGATGTCATTGTTGGCATTTGGGCACCCGGTGGGATGGCCGCACTTGCTTGCTGACGTCATGATTGGCACTTGGGCACCCGGTGGGATAGCCGCGCTTGCTTGTTGACGTCATCGTTGGCAGTTGGGTACCTCGTGGGATGGCCGCGCTTGCTTGTTGACGTCATCGTTGGCAGTTGGGTACCTGGTGGGATAGCCGCGCTTGCTTGTTGACGTCATCGTTGACAGTTGGGCACCCGGTGGGATGGCCGCGCTTTCTTTTCAACACCTGAATTTTCTGCAGATTGCACCGGCGATTGCTCCTTCATTCCAGTGACATTAGAGATAGACCGGTGACTACTGCCATCCACTGTAAGATCCAGGCACGAGAGCTTGTGAGTCGCCCTGGTGGCCTCTTCTTCCACTCTCTGGTCTGTTGGGTGCAGCGCGAGGGGGACGAAATACCCAGGACTGTGGCTCCCCATAAATTCGTGAATCTGTGTTGTAATGGCGATTGGGAAAGAACTCTCCTAGGAGAATGCAGATCTGCCTCTCATCGTGAGGTTATTTTAGCAACCTGATGTCGGTGGGGTAAAATTAGCCAGCCTCAATGTTAAAGTGCTGGCTTTGCCAATGCCCTCCATTTTAAATAATCTTGGCACCCATCTATCTGTTGAACGGATTCCTTTATTTAATCCTTCATTTAAAAAGATTATTTAAAGAAAAACACATCCAGTTTCTACTTAGGTTTAAGCTGTTCCCGTATGCACCCAAGTTTCTTGCACCGTCTGTCTTAGTCTGTGCTGGAGGGCAGGATTAAGACTGCTTTGCCTTGTGTTCTCTGCCCCACACAGCGCTGCAGTGAGGGCGTGGTATTTACCTGTCCTTTATGTGATTTGTAAACAAACCACAGAAACCATTTTGGGTCTGGTACCCCGCCTTTTGACCAGGGCTCTCCTGTTTTCCCGGACAGGCCCGGCTTACATTGTATCGCTGGTCCTGACGTCTGCCCCTCAGACCACGTCCCCTCTCATTTTGCTCTAGAAAATATAAGCACCCTTGCTCGGAGAGTGTGGAACGAATAAGAGATAATCTCCTAGTGGTTTACATTTGCCTGGTAATTTGTCATTTCATTTCCTATTCGTGTCCTTACCTTTGCACTAGCAAGATGCACAGATTGCCACTTGAGACCCAGCCTAGACAGTTTTTAGGTTCCTGCTCTATGCTAGGTATTTTCTTTCCTTTGTGTTTTGATCGAGAGGTGGCTCTGGAGTCCCCTCCCCTCACAGTGTCTGGTGTAGTATTTTATATAAACAGGTGGATAATAAAATACAGCGAGATTCAATTCCAGCACCACGTACCTGGTGCGTTTCCCGTCTCCTCCTGTGAGAGCTTTCTGCCTTTTCCCCGCCTTTGCACAGATGGCTGGTACCCTTTCCTGGACCTGTAATTTTGACAAAACCTCAAAATAATGTTCCAGGAAGGTAAACCGAAGAGCACCAAAAGGGATGCGTGTATTCGTGTGCGCGTGTGTGTGTTTGTGTGTGTGTGCGCGTGGTATCCTTAAAAGGTATTTTACTGTGTGGGAGTGACAAAATAGTCTGCTTGTAGGTAGAGGGGCGCCATCCTTTTCTTCATCCATCCTTGCCCTTTTGCCGATTTGAACTTCCATCTAGCCGTGAGATAAAAGCAGATGCTGAGTGAGTGAAAGATTTAGAAGCCTCACACGGCTGTGTCTAACCGCCAGCGGGGTCAGCGGGGTCAGCGGGCGACCCCGGGGGGTGTCGTGTCTGGCCCTTCCATGGGATGTAACGGAAATGAGCTCAGCTGTAGGTTCTGCGAGAGGCACCTGTAGTTCCCCCCGCTTTCCCACCGGTCGTCGCGGCATGCGAGTAAGTGAAGGCGAGCCGTGCTCTTGGAGGAAAAGTCTAATCGGTCAAAAAGCGCATTTGCGAACGTTGGCACTTTAAGTGGGTTTGGAAGTTCCGTGCTGGGGACACAGCAGACGTCTCGGAGGTTTGCCGCCTCACGGCATCGCGGGAGGGGAGCACAGGGGTGGGTGGCGGACCGTCTTGCCAGCCGTGCCGAGGTAGATTGGGGCTCCCCGCGTAGATGGTGTTGGTGAGAAGTGTGTTCGTCTCAGTGACGATCGTGCCCTACGGAAAACCGGTGGGTTTCACTAAGCTGGGACCTGTGTGTGGACGCGTACTCCTCAGTCTTTGTTTCTGGTATTTTCTATCATCAACATTCCGTTGAGCCTGCGTGTTATAATGACAGGGCAACAGCACTGATCAGATACTGTTATTTTTGGAGCCTCTATAAACCGAGGATAATCAAGGGCCTCTGATTTTTTTTTTTTTTCCTTTGTTGGTTGCCCTTAGGTGATCCTTCCTGCAGGATGCGTTAAGAGAAGAGGGACCCTTACTCGTTAGGCATGGAGAGCGGTTTGTCAGTTTCCAACATGCCAGACCCACTGTCTTCGCCCTTGGAGAGACAGCAGAGCTCAGCGAACGGTAATGGAGGGCTCGACTCAGGTAGGAGTTTCTTTTCTGCATCTGTCTGACCCCTTCGATTTAGTGACCCGTGTCTCCCCGAAGATGTTCGGGGCACAGCAGGGCAGACGTTCCTAGGTCTCTCACGTTGCCCGTTGCTAGGATTTGCTGTCCTGTTCGTCAGCCTGCGGCCTCTTGAAAGTTAGTGCAGAATCAGTATTCCCGATGCTGGACAGAGAGGGGCAGGTGACACCGGAGTGACGGATCCCTTCAGAATCTCAGTGGGTAACCCCGTAAATGTCGACGTTACGTTCATGCCATTTCAGGCGAGGTAGCGGGCATTCCCTCGCTGACTCATTGCACACGGTCTTAGGGTGCGCCACGTGCGGGTGGTGGTTTTTGTTCCGGGGGAGGCGGGGCTGGGGGCTCCCGAGTCAACAGTGAAATGCTCC